TTTAATTATTGTTTTTGTCTCCAACTAATTCCAGATCATGGGATATCCTCACACCTGATATTCAACAATTATACTGTTTTATATCAAAACTAGTTTGGGAACTCAGCTTTTCTCTCAACTTTTCTTTACTTCAAACAACTCAACTGAGAAATTGTCATCATTTTCTTTGTTTTACATCACACAGATTACTGTTTATATTTATAGATTTTACAAGGTGTGTATTGTTTATTAAATAGTATGGAGGATATTTCGAAGAAGTTACAATAATACGATTTTTTGTCAACATCAACATTTGAAATAAGTGCCTCTGTGTTTTAAGTTTTTTAAGATGGATAACAACCAATTGCCGGCTTTTTAATGTTAGCTACTTTAGCAAATCAATTTTTATTTTTAAAAAATTTAGGTTCCCTTTTAAGGCTATATCTTTATCTAATGTGTATAAATGTATGTACATATATAACTGATTACATGAATATGTAAAATGGATGGTTGAGAGAATTTAGGAACAGGCGGGGGAATAAAAGGGGAGGGGCGGGAGGCGGGGTATGGGGAATGTAAATTTATTTCGTTGTAAATATATGTGATTGAAAATCCTAGGAACGAAAATTGACGTATTTTTTATAACTTTTGTTTATTATTCCCAAATCGTAATCATCGTTGGTAAATAAATGTCAGTTAATTATGTTTTTGCTAAATTGCTGTCACTAAATTTTCAAATTACAAAACTGTAATTACCAAAACTGCGATCTCTTATTAATTGCAAAATTGATGGAGATTTCAGATATCATGCCTCAGTTGTTGGTTAGGGAAATTGTTTAGTTATAAAAATAAAGTTTAAAACAAGATTTTTATTGAATTTAGTAGAAACGTGATGAACACTATGTTCCAGAAATGACATAATACAAGTAAACATATAAAAATCCATATTTAAGGGACTACGTGATTTCAGGTCACCCTAGCTCTTAGTAGTAGCAAAGATAATGAAGATATTCATGTTTTCCTTTCTAAAAATTGATAATATTCAATTGTGGTTACTTTATAAAAGATTATTGCACCAGTGACAAAAGAAAATGAAAATAACATAATTCAAAACTTTTTAAGTAGAAATAATCTTCCTGAGATTAAGGTTTGCAGGGTACCTGCTGTGAATCTGGCATGTCAGTCTAAAACTGACCCAATTGACATTATGTTAGGAGTCCCTTTAACACAAATTATTTCAAGTTCTAAGTTGAACATCACTAAATCAATACTAAATATATCCCTCCTCCTCTTCTTTATTGATAAACAGAATAGTCCAGGTGTTTATAAACTGTAGAATATATTTGAATATACAGGGTGTTCAAAATTTTAGTTTATAAACTGCAGAACATGTTTAAATATACAGGGTGTTCTAAACTTTAATTTATAAACTCCAGAAGATATTTGAATTTACAGGGTGCCCTAAATTTAATTCATAAACTGCAGAATACATTTGAATTTACAGGGTGTCCTAAACTTAATTTATAAACTGCAGAATACATTTGAATATGCAGGGTGTCCTAAACTTAATTTATAAACTGCAGAATACATTTGAATATGCAGGGTGTCCTAAATTTAATTTATAAACTGCAGAATACATTTGAATATGCAGGGTGTCCTAAACTTAATTTATAAACTGCAGAATACATTTGAATATGCAGGGTGTCCTAAACTTAATTTATAAACTGCACAATACATTTGAATATACAGAATACCCTAAAGTTTAGATTTATATTTTTTTAATTGAATAAATTATGATTTTTCAGAAAATAACCAGCAATTTTTACAGGATGAACAAAAATACATTATAGGCCAGTTATACCACTGCTACCAATATAAAAAGGGTTGTGAATCCGCTGTGTCATATTTTCAAATTAAAAACCACTTTAAAATATGATTCCATTTTATTAGATTTCTTTCTTGAATCAAATTACACAATTTGATTTAAATTTGAAACATATTATACATAAAGAGAACATGTGGTCTGTATAACATTAGCAACAAGATTGATTCATTTGTTGCTTCTATCAGATAAGATTCACCTCTTTTTCTGTAGAAAATTAATTGTCAACATTAAACGGTGAATAATATTTTTATCTCCACATTTTTCGACACTAATTAATGTAAATATTTTTCTGTTGATAAATTAACAATTAAGAAATATAAAAAGTTTGATCAATTATTTTTGTTAAGCTAAAATTGTGATATTAAGTTTTCTAACGGTCTTTTTTTGTATACTACATTTATATAACTGAGCCTAATTATGAAAATGACAAATTATTTTTATCATTTAACACTCTTCTTCAGGGCTCCAGCTTTTAAGATTAAAAAAATCAAATTTGCTTTCGAAAATTGATAGCATAATTATAATTTTGCGAGTCTATGAAAAAGTAATGATCGTAATGACATGGTAAGTAGTTTGCTTGGATAGCTCTGATGTAATAATTTTATCGCCGTTTTTCTTTGTAATTCGACACTGTTGGCGGCAAGTGGCCGCCATGTTTGAAGCGCGGAATGCCGCAACCCCTCTGCACCGGTTCCACCCGACTCCATTTCCCGCGTTTTTGTCGCGCTAATTGATGATCGATTGTGTTTTCAGCACTCGTATTGTGCGGAATGACAGGATCTGTTGATGAAACCAACACCGGCCCAAGCCAGCCAATTAGCGACCATACAAAAAGATCGCTCAATCGCTTGCTAATCACCCGGGCGCAATAAAAAATAATGTGGCTTGAAACTAATATTTGTTTAATGACTATGTGTCAGTACAATAATGATGTGGATAAAAGGAGTTTACGTTTCTTTGCAGAACATTTTTTTATTAATCATTAATTTTCAATTGATATACGTACAGGATACAAATATATTATACAAATTAAACACCGCAGTGCAGCAGCTGTTTCACTATTTAGTTTATTTAATTTCAATAATAAAATAAAATCAAATTCTCATTGTCAGATACACGCTAAACTGTAGATTAGGTTGAATTAGACTGGAATGATAAGACAGGAATTCTGATGACTTACGAAGAAGGAAACGCCTTTCTGTATATAATCTATAATACATTCAATCAGATTTTTCGAGTCAAAGATTTTTGATTTTACAAGACGCCATTAAGAATTGATTTTATTTTACAAGACGCCATTCAGAATTGATTTTATTCTACAAGACACCTCTATTTAAATTTGCTTTATCTAAAAAAGGAATTCTACGTAGAATCAAATGTACACCTCACTCTCCACTAAACCCCCGTTAATTCTTCGGCGTGAGTACAGCAAATCAGCGCAGAGAACACCGAAAGTTTAGTTAAGGGTAACCTATACACCCCATATATGTGTTTACTTAAAGAGTGCTTGTAATTACAGTGTCTATTTTCCCCCTAAAATGAATTGAGTCTTTGCCACAAACGCAAATTTTCTAATCCCAATAACTTTGCAATCTGATTATGAAAACCTATGGTATTTCAAACTTAGATTGTTTGATCGAACAGAATTCATAGTTTGAATTATGTTAAGCACGTCTATGACATTGGGTTTCAAAAATATAGGGATTAGACAATCAGAATTTGTGGCAAAGACTAATAATACAAGAAACAAGAATAATTAAAATGAAAAACCTTTGTTTCACTTCCGTAGTTCATGTTTACGAGCTTAGAGCTTGAAAACACTCTAATAAACCGATCCTGCGTGTTAATTTTACATTTTATTTTACAACGAAACAGTTGTGATAAAAACAAAACAGTATTTAGACAATTTTTCCAAAACGACTGAGCTAATATGCTTGATTCACTTCTACAAGAGTTAAAATGGGTCGGTACTGAACCAGATAATGACACTTTCAAATAAAAAAATAGCTTGGGAACCCAGGGTAGTCATAGCAAGTCCCACCGTTTACCCGCGCTTTGTCGTAAATGACGATTTTAGCTTTTTCTCTAAAAAAGTCCCGGGGCTCAACAGATTTCCCAAATCAAAATTTGAGGCAAATCGGTCCAGGGTACAAACAAACAAACAAACAGACAGACAGATAAAAAAGATTACAACTTTTATTTATATATATAACCAATATTGTTTTATCCAACACATGATGAATCTATCAATGGAGGTTATACAAGAAAAAATAGATACATGTTGTTGTACATTCAATTTTTCAAGATGCATAAATTTTGAAGTGATGTGCTCAAAATATGATAGGTGACGGATTATTTACAAATGCTAGAACGGTCCTAATGAGTTCTGTCTTGAATAGATATAAAAAATTTGAATATTTAACAATTCTTATCGAGATTCAAAATTATTCATCATATTCATAAAATTCACGTAATCTGAATTTATGTCAAAATTATCTTTGGTGCTTCCTCCCCCCCCCCCCTCCCTAGCTTCATGATACAAATCTTATGATTGAAATATATTTATTTTTAAGCATGGATAATAAGTGTATCAATCTATCTCACTGATACATGCAGTACAAGTAAAAACTGTATCTTTCATATTCAACTCTCTTCTATAGCTATGATTATATATTTGTATCAATCTATCTATTTACCTATCTATCTTTGTATCTCTAGCTATCTATATATCTATCTATCTTTGTATATTTGTATATATCTATATATCTATCTATCTTTGTATATTTGTATATATCTATATATCTATCTATCTATCTATCTGGGTTACCTTAAAGAATAAGTATTGTTTAAGATGAACCGCGTTTTATTGCAGGGATTATTTGTTAATTAAATAATTTATGACGAACCCAATTAATATTTAGGTGAAGCCTTCCCAAGTCAGCTTAAAAGTCGGTTGGAGATTCAAGGATTAAATGGATTGAGAGGGGTTAGAGGGGATCCAGGGGGGACTGGTAGATCCAGGGGGGGGGGGCTGGGAGAGAGATGTTAATTGCCTAGGCTGGATTTCAGCAGTATAATAAAGTTCTGTCAGATGGACACATCAATAACGAACCTAGTTCTCCTATTGGCTACAGCTGGCGGAGTGTCGACCAATCAGAGCCGTGGATTTCTTCGCGGATTTCAGCGCGTCAAGATGACTGAATCGGAGTGAAGTTGAGCCGTGTGACATCTTCCAGTTGAATGGTTACACCATATGAGAAAAGTTGCATCTCAACCTAACTCTGGAATGCTCTCAATCCACAAAATGGTTCCGGAGCTGAAGATAGAGCCTGATACACGGAGTGAAACTTCATCTCCCATTATCCGAGTTTGTGATTCTCCTGAATCTAGTTCAGGTTCTCCCACCTCTCCTCTCTCAGCAAGCTTCTATTCTTCTTCGGGATCAACTTTATCATCTCCTCCTCCTATTCATCATATTCCAAACCCTTTCCTTTTCCGTCCCTTCTTCAATATGCCTCTACCCCTGCTCCCCCTCCCCCAACCCTCACCTCCCTCATCAAAACCTCTGACATTTTCAATCGATAATATTCTTAGATCAAATTTTCAAGCTGCAGGTTTGGAGCGAAAACCTACTCTTAGCCCATCAATAGCTCCGAAACAAACCCCGCTCCCTAAACCTGTGAAAGCCCCCCCTCCTCCCAAACCCAAGGTTGATATTGAAATTCCAGTTGATCTCTCCAAAACCTCCAACGAGGCACCTAAAACTGACGCGGATTGTCCTCCAGGTAAAAAAATAAAAAATAAAGATCTAACAATTTTACAAAAATTTTTTTTTTTATTTTTATTTACGATGAAACCGTTAAAATTTGGATAATAACAATAATAATAATAATAATACTGAATTCCAGGTATGGTTCGAGGACCCAACGGTCAGCTGTGGCCAGCCTGGGTTTTCTGTACAAGATATTCAGACAGACCTTCTAGTGGTAGGTCAATCTATCTGTCTATCTGTCAACCTATTTTTCTATCTGTCAACCTGTCTATCTTATTATTTGTCTAACTGTCTATCTGTTTTAACTGTATATCTCTCTAACTTCATTTCTTTCTAGCTGTCTAACTGTCTATCCGTCCAACTGTTTATCTGTCTAACTGTCTAACTTTCTAACTGTCTAACTGTCTAATTGTCTATCTATCCAACTTTCTATTTGTCTATCTGTCTATTTGTCTATGTGGTTATCTGTAAATCTGTCTATCTCTCTATCTGTCTATCTGTCTATCTGTCTATCTGTCTATCTGTCTATCTGTCTATTTATTTATGGATTTATCTGTCTATTTATTTATCTGTCTATTTATTTATCTGTTTATCTGTCTATTTATTTATCTGTCTATCTGTCAGCTTAAACATTTGTCTTTCTTTCTATACTTTTTTGTCTCTCTTATTGTCCGTCATTTTGTTGTTTATTTGTCAATCATTCTCAAAACATTTAAATCTGAATATAATTCCTAGTTTTTTTCTCATACAATTGTTCCCCTTTACCGCGTACTTCAGCTCATTTTGATGTTTATTTTAAACTACTTACTAATTAATTTCTGAGTAAGCCGTGTGTAATTTATTAATATATTTGTTTAATTCGTTTACTCACAGAATCTTATCCATTCTACAATGTTTTGGTTTAATTTAAGCTTAGGGAAACTGAAAGGAATTAAGTCTCTGTTACAAACTGTGATTTTCTCATACCTATGTCCTAGACCTCAGCTATTTTGAATTATGAATTCTGTTTGAAAAATCAATGGTTTACACCTTGGTTCAGGTTGCAATGATAAAGCGAATATCAGAGTTTGTGGCAAAGATTCAATTCCTTTGTTGATTTTTATCTACAATTTGTCAAGTTTGTTTTATTTCTACAATTTGTCCAATTCATCTACTGTTTTATTTCTACAATTTGTCCCATACATCTACTGTTTTATTTCTACAATTTGTCCAATTCATCTACTGTTTTATTTCTACAATTTGTCCAATTCATCTACTGTTTTATTTCTACAATTTGTCCCATACATCTACTGTTTTATTTCTACAATTTGTCCAATTCATCTACTGTTTTATTTCTACAATTTGTCCGATACATCTACTGTTTTATTTCTACAATTTGTCAAGTTTGTTTTATTTCTACAATTTGTCCAATACATCTACTGTTTTATTTCTACAATTTGTCCAATACATCTACTGTTTTATTTCTACAATTTGTCAAGTACGCATTTTCAAAATTTTTCAAAAATAAAAAACTATTATACACAAATTTTTAAAATTTTGATCATTCATAAACCTTCCCTGGGGTCACGTCAGGTCCCACAACAAATTTGGGCCCGATCGGTTCAGCCGTTTTGACGTTTATTGGATACAAACAAACAGACAAACAGACAGACTAGCCAAATTTATATATAGATTAACTACAATTTTTCCTATTAACAAGAAAACAAATTAGAAAGAATCTAATTTGTTCCGTATTTCAGGACCCCGGATCTAATTTGTCCCGTATTTCAGGACCCCGGATGCGTAAGATAAAGAAGGTAAAGGGAGAGTCCTCAAACTCTCCTGCTCTTGATGATAAACGACCACGAACAGCTTTTACAACTGAACAGCTGAACAAACTCCGAGGAGAGTTCCAGGCGAATAGGTATCTCACAGAGGAGAGACGGCGCCTGCTGTCGAGGGAGCTGGGGTTGAACGAGAACCAGATCAAGATCTGGTTCCAGAATAAGCGAGCAAAGCTGAAGAAAGCTACAGGAGACAAGGGTGATCTGGCCAAGATGTTAGAGGCCCAGGGGTTGTATAATCATCAAACTGTTCCTTTAGATGATGAAGATCAATTCGGACAATATTAACAATTCATTCATTTTTCTATTAATCCGCTTCAAGACTAAAAAGTGTGTCACAAAAATTATCAAAAAGACAAATTTGTGTGAATCTAATCGTTCTTATCTTAATTCTAGATGTGCATGGGTGGCGCAACGCTCACTAAATTTTTATTTATTGTGTACACCCCTTAGTAGAACATTATTTTGTGTTAAATCGGCTGTGATACTATTTAATTATTTCTGTTCTTTAGTCAATGTTCATCTCACAATATATTATAATCTACAATATTAGTTTTATTACTATTATCATCATTGAAAATAATATTAATGAAATTACAAAAATACAGAGAACAAATCCATGATATTTTACCAATATAAATTAAACCTAGCCTCTCATCCACTTAAAGTAGCCTATTAAAGGGACTGTAAGCGTAATTTCAAGTGACTCTCCATGCAAAGATGGTAATGCCCGATTTACAACGGTACCCGGCCTTAAAAGCTTTGTCTGTGCAAGTTTGCAAGTTTTATAATTAAGGAAACTGATTATTTTCAATGGGGGTTGTTCTTGTCTCTTTACAAAAGTGACACAAGTACTTGCGTAATGAGCATTTCTATTGGCTGCAGGAAAACGTATAGGAATTTTCAGAATAATGACCTAGAAAACCAAGAAAACCTAGAAAACCTAGAAAACCTAGAAAACCTAGAAAACCTGGAAAACCTAGAAAACCTAGAAAACCTAGAAAACGACAATGTCTTTAACATTAATGATCAGATAAGTGTGTTCAGGGTATCGTTGTGAATCGGGAATTGCGATGTTTTCATGAAAGGTCTCTTAAAATCAAACTTAATTCTTTAGGTTGTTGTTTTCTGCATTGTCACAAACTCTGATTTAACAATCTCTATATCTTTGCGACCCAATAACGTAAACCTAAGGTTTGAACCTTTGAATTCTATTAACTCGACAAATAATTAGAAATATCAAAGGTTTGCAATTTAAGTTCTGCAAGACTCTAGAGGTATATGACCGAAGATAAAAACTATCCAATAGAGTTGATATGAGAGCACCCATCTTAATGAAAATTAGTAATTAAACATAAATTAAGATATTTGTAACATAATTAAAAATTCTCACAAACTGCTGAAGAGTAAAAAGTTCAAGGAAGGCCTTAGTTTTCAATATTCTACCAAAGTTTGAACCCAGGAACTGAATTTGGTATAAACTACATAGGCCTGCACAGTGCAGTATATGTTGATATGAATCTGCTCCTTTCTCCTAAATTAAATTGGTGTGTTGGTCTAGACATAATATATTCTCTCATCTACATCATTTAGTTTACATTGTTGAATACATATTCCCCACACACTATAGATATACAATTTATCCCCCCCTATACCGCTAGTTTGCTTGAATTTATCTCATCCAATAATCATACAACTGGACGGCTGAACCAATCGGGCCAGTCATGTTTTTGGGACCTCACATGACCAAAAGATCTTAAGGTGCATGGATGGACAAGGTTTAAAAATACAACTTTAAAAAGTTAAAAATTTTGGAAATCCACTTAATTTTAAGACAGAATAATCTGCAAAATTTAAATGTTTTTTTTTAAATAATGTACGATAGGAAAATATCTACACGAAAAAAAAACATCAATATGGAGTACCAAGAGGGAGCTCTAAAACAGTGTAGGGCCTAATATCCTATGCCCCAGTAGAGGGAGTACTTCAATTAACTCCCCGCCCTCAGCTTAGCTTGTCAGTTCTGCAGTAGTCTGTAGGGCCGAAGATATAGTAGTATGTTTAGTGGAGAGTGTCTCCGCTATTACTAGAGAGGGGGAGTACTTAAATTAACTCCACGCTATTACTGCAAGTGCCCTATGTCCAAAGGAGAGGTAGCATTTCTATGAACTCCCCGCTATTACTGTAGGTGGAGAGGGAGTACTTATATTATTTCCCCGTTATTATTGCCCTATGTCCCAGGAGAGAAAGTACGTACATAATGAACATCCCGCTATTATTGCGCAATTTCCCATGAGAGGGAGTACTTTTACGAACACCATGCGGTTATTATTATAGAGGAAGTACTACTATGAACTTCTTGCTATTTCTGGAGGTGGAGAAGGAGTATAATACTATCCCTAAATACTCCCTGAATACTCCCTGGAGTACTCCCTGGAGTATTAGAGTGTAATGTTTAGAACCTGGAATTTATCAGTTAAGAATTTACTAAGGAAACATGATCCAAGGAGAACATGGAGGGGAGAATTGTTGGTCAAGTTGGATGAAATAATGAATAGAAAATATGAAAAGTTCGGTAAAAAATGCATGAAACCTCATTCTTGTAATCATATAAAACAAGTTTAAGCGAAGAGCAATGAGATCGAGAAAATCAGCCAGAAAAGATGATTCTATTTCATAAATTCTTAATATCATGAATTAAAATCAATCATAAGCTTTAGTGAATTACAGTATAAGAGAAACGCTAATTTTTAAATCTCTAACTTTGTGGCCCAATGTCTGAACTATCAAAGGTGTACACCCGCATGTTGCTAAGAATTCATTGTTGATTTGGCGGTACAGTCCAAATTAGGACTGCAAAGGTTGGCCCAGCTCGTATATTCAAATGTACACCGGTTGTGCATGAATTGGGGGTTAAGAAAATTTGAGTTAGTGGCAAAGAAGACTCAAGCCCTATATAAAACATATATCTAATGCAAATTTTTACACAGTTTATCATCCTAACATGGAGTTACACTATAGATGTATTTCGTTACCTGATAAATATCATAAATGACACTTAATAATACAATTGTTTAATTTAAAAATAAAATAATAAATGCATATTTAAAAACTAAACTGATGCCTGATACACTTTACTAGAAGGGGAGAGGGGGGGGATAAAGGAAATCATTGTATAGATGGATAAACGTAATTTAGGAAGGAAGGATGGATGGATGGAAGGATGGAGGATGAATCAATGAATGAATGAATAGATGAGTTAAAGTATCCTGCTATGTTAGGTTATAAATGATGCCAACTAACGATATTTTCCTATTGGTTTCTGGTCTCCGCCCACCCAATTTTAAACCTCCCCGCCCCCTCCTTGCGGCTTTGTTAACTGCCTGAGAACCCCCGGGCCCCTAAACCCCCCTTGAACCCCCTAAATGATCTGAATTTGCCTCCTAATGGTTGATGAATCACCTTGGTTGAACCGCAGAGACACTATATAGTACTATACACCTTCAATTTACATACAAAAATAAAGAAAACAGACAGATAGATAGATAGATAGATAGATAGATATAAAGAAAGACCAATGCATAAATAAATAACTAGATATATATATATATATATCAATATATATAAAGATAGATGAATACATATGTAGATAGATAAATGGCTACATAAACAGATGGATAGATATAATGTTAAATAGATTTAAATGGATTATTTACCTTCTAAAAATACACTTAATTTGTCCGCCCAAAAACTGTTCTATCTATCCCTGGATTATTTACCACTGTTCTATCTTTCCCTGTATTATTTACTACTGTTCTATATATACCTGTATTTTTTACCACTGTTCTATCTATCCCTCTATTAATTACCACTGTTCTATCTATCGCTGTATTATTTACCACTGTTCTATCTATCCCTGTGATATTTAGCACTGTTCTATCTATACCTGTATTATTTACCACTATTCTATATATACCTGTATTATTTACTACTGTTCTATCTATTACTGTATTATTTACTACTGTTATATCTATCCCTGTATTATTTACCACTGTTCTATCTATCCCTGTATTATTTACCACTGTTCTATCTATCCCTGTATTTTTTACCACTGTTCTATCTATCCCTATATTATTTACCACTGTTCTATCTATCCCTGTATTATTTACCACTGTTCTATCTATCCCTGTATTTTTTTACCACTGTTCTATCTATCCCTGTATTATTTACTACTGTTCTATCTATCCCTGTATTTTTTACCACTGTTCTATCTATCCCTGTGATATTTAGCATTGTTCTATCCATCCCTGTATTTTTTACCATTGTTCTATCTATCCCTGTATTTTTTACCACTGTTCTATCTTTCCCTGTATTATTTACCACTGTTCTATCTATCCCTGTGATATTTAGCATTGTTCTATCTATACCTGTATTATTTACCACTGTTCTATCTATCCCTGTATTTTTTACCACTGTTCTATCTATCCCTGTATTATTTACTACTGTTCTATCTATCCCTGTATTTTTTACCATTGTTCTATCTATCCCTGTATTTTTTACCACTGTTCTATCTATCCCTGTATTATTTACCACTGTTCTATCTATCCCTGTGATATTTAGCATTGTTCTATATATACCTGTATTATTTACTACTGTTCTATCTATTGCTGTATTATTTACTACTGTTATATCTATCCCTGTATTTTTTACCACTGTTCCATCTACCCCTGTATTATTTACTACTGTTCTATCTATCCCTGTATTATTTACCACTGTTCTATCTATCCCTGTATTATTTACCACTGTTCTATCTATCCCTGTATTATTTACTACTGTTCTATCTATTACTGTATTGTTTACTACTGTTCTATCTTTCCCTGTATTATTTACCACTGTTCTATCTATCCCTGTATTATTTACTACTGTTCTATCTATCCCTGTATTATTCACTACTGTTCTATCTATTACTGTATTGTTTACTACTGTTCTATCTTTTCCTGTATTATTTACCACTGTTATATCTATCCCTGTATTATTTACCACTTCCCCCTGGATAATAAAAGCCCTGGATACTGCACGCTTAAATCTCACATTTTTCTTTAAAAATGTTTAGTGGTTTTCTAGTGTACCTAATCTTCGTATCTGTGTAGGAGAGAAATTTCAACTATTTGTCCCCCCCCCTTGACCCCCCAGACAAAGTTATGCCCCCCTGGGGCCTTATCGGACTAATATTTATCCGTTTGAAAAAAGCTTCCTAAAAATTCCCGGTGGTCAGTCATCATTATATAATCTTAACATTTTGGTAGATAAATGATAGAAACCAAATTTTAAGAAATGGTTAAAAAATGGAATTTGTTGTATACACAACTATTTTCGTTACACAAGGCACTCAAGAGTCATGTTTTTTGTTCAGTTTAAAGTATATAATATCTTGCTTGCTAAGTTCCCGTTTAGATATAAGAAAGAAAATAATGATTTTTTGTGGTTTTTCGGAGCTTGGAACTTTTAAATGGAAAAAATAAGTTTAACTCATTCTCTAATCGTGGG